CAGCAGTCCCGGCGGAGCAGCCAACAGGCAGAGGTGCAGCAGTCCTGGCGGGGCAGCCAACAGGCCGAAAAGCTAGGTTGCGAAAGGGGCAACAAATTGGACGTTGTGCAAGAATCACAAGAAAGAAGCCCACAGCCAGTGTGTGATGAATTTCAGTACAGTAACAGCATGTGGAACTCATTAGGTAGTGATTTCAAGTTGCCTGGTGAGTCTGAAAGCAAGGCTACCCTTGAGAGCTTATCCTCATATGTTGAGGGAGAAGATGAAGCTCTGCAGACGTCTAGCATCATTTCTCTCGAAGTTGGGATCTGGCTAAACAGAAAAACTGGGAAGATATTGAGAAGCCATAGTCAACAGACAAGTGCCAGCTGTCTTCATACTGATTGTAGAGGACCTCCGGAACACAACAGAGATACAGCAGAGAGCCCACAGGTATCCCAAGCCAATGTTAGGCCACTTGACGAGAAACCAGGCGAAGCGTCTTGCGATAGTCTCACCTTTGCGCCATCTTTGGGTGAGCTGCAGGCTGGCGATGAATTTGAAAAAGTGGCCAGTGCCTCTAGGAGCGAAGCAATCCTACAGAGTGTGCCCTCGTCCCTGACGAATGCAGAGGTGGTGTCCTTGCCCATCTACACGGTGGTTTCTGTGGCCGAAGGCAGCTGGCGGAATGTCCAAACGGGAAAGCTGCTGGCCTCTAGGTGCCAGCAGACAGACAAGTCTTCCATCCAAGAGGTTCATCAGCCCGTCCGGCGCACTAGTTATTCACCCGAGCTGAGTTATGATGACCTAAAGGATGTACAGATAAGTGAAAGCTCACAACCAATCTGCTATAGCGATATACTCTATAGTGAACCCAAGGGGCCCTCTACGTACCAGCAGACGGACAAGTCTTCCATCCAAGAGGGTCATCAGCCCGTCCGGCGCACTAGTTATTCACCCGAGCTGAGTTATGATGACCTAAAGGATGTACAGATAAGTGAAAGCTCACAACCAATCTGCTATAGCGATATACTCTATAGTGAACCCAAGGGGCCCTCTACGTACCAGCAGACGGACAAGTCTTCCATCCAAGAGGGTCATCAGCCCGTCCGGCGCACTAGTTATTCACCCGAGCTGAGTTATGATGACCTAAAGGATGTACAGATAAGTGAAAGCTCACAACCAATCTGCTATAGCGATATACTCTATAGTGAACCCAAGGGGCCCTCTACGTACCAGCAGACGGACAAGTCTTCCATCCAAGAGGGTCATCAGCCCGTCCGGCGCACTAGTTATTCACCCGAGCTGAGTTATGATGACCTAAAGGATGTACAGATAAGTGAAAGCTCACAACCAATCTGCTATAGCGATATACTCTATAGTGAACCCAAGGGGCCCTCTACGTACCAGCAGACGGACAAGTCTTCCATCCAAGAGGGTCATCAGCCCGTCCGGCGCACTAGTTATTCACCCGAGCTGAGTTATGATGACCTAAAGGATGTACAGATAAGTGAAAGCTCACAACCAATCTGCTATAGCGATATACTCTATAGTGAACCCAAGGGGCCCTCTACGTACCAGCAGACGGACAAGTCTTCCATCCAAGAGGGTCATCAGCCCGTCCGGCGCACTAGTTATTCACCCGAGCTGAGTTATGATGACCTAAAGGATGTACAGATAAGCGAAAGCTCCCAACCAACCTGCTACAGCGATATACTTTATAATGAACCCGAGGTGCCCGGTGGATAGGATGGGCTCGAACCGGCTGGAGACAGTGGAGACCGAGCTGCCCTTCTGGAGGAAAGGTGTATGTCTGGAAGAACTAAAATAAGGCTCCTGGAAACATGTGAGAGCAGAATAAAAACAAGGAAACCTATATATTTTGTGGTTAATTTGCTTGAATTAGTAGTTTTTATTGCACTGCATAGTTCCTTGCCTAGGTAAAGGTAAAAGGTTCCCCTTGACATTGAGTCCATTCGTGTCCGACTCTAGGGTGCAGTGCTCATCCCTGTTTCCAAGCCTCAGAGCCAGTGTTTCTCCGAAGACCGTTTCCATGGTCACGTGGCCAGCATGACTAGACATGGAACGCCGTGACCTTCCCACTGACGTGGTACCTATTTACTCACATTTTTGCATGCTTTCGAACAGCTAGGTGGGTAGGAGCTGGGACAAGCAACGGGAGCTCATTTTGTCGTATGGATTCAATCTTATGACGGCTGGTCTTCCGACGTTGCAGGACAGAGGCTTCTGCGGTTTAACCTGCAGCCCCACCACGTCCCCCTCATTCCTTGCTAATTTATCTCTATTACAGATAAGTTGGACTGTTTCATCAAAATGACCAACATGAATTTGACCAAACTCTGGGATGCAGTGGAAGACTGGAGGGATTGGCATGCTCTGGTCCATGGGGGTCATGAAGAATCAGACACAACTTAACAACTAAACAACAACACAGATAAGTTAGGATGAAGCTTCAGCCCTGTTTACAAATACAGATTGAACAGTAGCTATAACAGCAAGCAGTGGTGATGATTGGCATATGTGGATGAATCGTCCCAGATTAAAGCACATAGAGCTATCATGGTATCTCAGAACACCTCCGGCGTTATTAAGGATACCAGCTGACTAAAGTATTTTACCTAGCCTGTCTTTAAAAGACCATTGACAACTAAATTTGAATACTGGAACCTTTCATTAAAGCTCCATCTAGGTGATTCTTTTGGATACTGAACAAAAAATGTAAGATGCCTGAGTTCAAGAATGGAAATGCGTACCAATCATTTTTTAAGAAGGAAACCCATTCTGGAAGTAACGGGTGTCTGACTTTTGGCAGTTAAAAACCTAATGTGGGAGCCATTCTGCTGCTTGGCTTTTTTTTAATCTGTATGTTTTGATGGTGCTTTGTATCCAAAAGAAAATGGTGGACCAAATGTGTTGCTCTTCTTTAGGCCTTGTTTAGTCGTTAAGTCATGTCCAACTCTTCGTGACCCCATGGACCAGAGCATGCCAGGTCCTCCTGTCTTCCACTGCCTCCCGGAGTTGGGTCAAATTCATGTTGGTTGCTTCGATGACCCTGTCCAGCCATCTCATCCTCCGTCGTCCCCTTCTTCTCTTTCCTTCACACTTTCCTAACATCAGGGTCTTTTCCAGGGAGTCTTCTCTTCTCATGAGATGGCCAAAGTATTGGCGCCTCAGCTTCAGGATCTGTCCTTCCAGTGAGCATTCAGAGCTGATTTCCTTTAGAATGGATCGGTTTGTTCTCCTTGCAGTCCAGGGGACTCTCAAGAGTCTCCTCCAGCACCACAATTCAAAAGCATCAATTCTTCGGTGGTCAGCTTTCTTTATGGGCCAGCTCTCGCTTCCGTACATCACTACAGGAAAAATCATAGTTTTGACAATATACAGCCTTGTCGTATTCCTTTCCCAATTTTGAACCATCAGTTCCATATCCAGTTCTGGCCATTGCTTCCTGTCCCACATATAGATTTATCAGGAGATAGATAAGGTGGTCAGCCCCTCATGGATTGCTGCCTTGTCGTGGCAAAGGGGTTTGAGTAACTCAGAGAAGTTATGGGCTTGAGAACTCCCAGAAGTATAAGCTGGATTCCGAAGGGGCAGAGGAACTAGAGACCAAATTGCTAACATGCACTGGATTATGGAGAAAGCCAGAGAGTTCCAGAAAAACATCTACTTCTGCTTCATTGACTATGCAAAAGCCTTTGACTGTGTGGACCACAGCAAGATATGGCAAGTCCTTAAAGAAATGGGAGTGCCTGACCACCTTGTCTATCTCCTGAGAAACCTATATGTGGGACAGGAAGCAACAGTTAGTACTGGTTATGGAACCACTGATTGAGAAAGGAATATGACAAGGCTGTATATTGTCCCCCAGTTTATTTAACTTATATGCAGAATACATCATGCAAAAGGCCGAACTGGAGGAATCGTAATCTGGAATTAAGATTGCCAGAAGAAATATCAACCCTGAGTGCTCCCCGGAAGGACAGAGCCTGAAGCTGAGCCTCCAGTACTTTGGCCATCTCATGAGAAGAAAAGACACCCTAGAAAAGATCCTGATGTTGGGAAAGTGTGAAGGCAAGACGAGAAGGGGATGACAGAGGACGAAGTGGATGGACAGTGTCATCGAAGCGACCAACATGAATTTGACCCAGGTCCGGGAGGCAGTGGAAGACAGGAGGGCCTGGTGTGGTCTGGTTCATGGGATCATGAAGAATCGGACACGACTAAACGACTAAACAACAAAGTGGTCAGGCACTCCCATTTCTTTATTTCAGGAAATGTTTAACTCCAGAATAAAATCAAAACAATCTGAGGCAATTGTATCAAAATGAATCTGAGTATCAAGATGTATGTACAGTATTTTGTTGTTACAATAATTCCAGGCAATGTCAGCTTGTCTATTTCTACAAGCTTTATTGATCTCGATTGCCACTATATTCCACATTCACAAAACCACTTCGGAGTCGTTCTCCAAACATCTTAATATAGGAATTTAAAAACTGCAGCCATAGGACATAAAATATATATATGGAAATTGAACTTGCTTTGTAGGCAAACAACTTAGTTCAGAAAACATAATATGCATTTAAAAAATACAATAATTAATAGCCTAAAAAGCCCTTTACAAATAAAAAAGGTATCTCTTAAAATATTCATTAAAAATAAAAAGCATTATAACTTTAAGCACTCTTTAGCTGTACTTAAAGAGCATATTAAAATACCAAAGATGTTCAAAGTAAAAATATATAAAGTACATTACTTAGCATCTAAGCATGTTATTAGACAGAAAAATGTTTTCTACATTTCTCACCAAGCCATATCAATTAGTGGATAGAGGAAATTCCACGTTGTATTTCTTCTGTTTCTGTGTCCAGCTGCTTTGCTTGTCATTATGTGCTTTGTGCAGCATAGGGTGGAGCCTTACCTTGTTGTCTCTGTGTGTTTGTGTGTCTTACTTCTACTTATTTATAAATAAATATTTATATTCTTACCAATTGTTTTCCTTTCCTTACCTCTTTTTACTAATCCAGGATTTTCTTATTTAAGAATTTGAATGAGCAACAATAATATCGCATATACTTGTGTTCTTGGAATTGAAACCTAAGATTTTTATTAGGTATCAATTAAGACTGTTCTTCATTGTGTTAGAGAGCCTAAGACAAGTGTTTTTCACCTGGATCTTTCTGAACGAACAAAACCTTTACTTGGTTGTTGTGGATTTTTTGGGCTCTTTGGCCGTGTTCTGAAGGTTGTTCTTCCCAACGTTTCGCCAGTCTCTGTGGCTGGCATCTTCAGAGGAGCACAGAGCACAGAGTGCTATCCTCTGAAGATGCCAGCCCCAGAGACTAATAATCTAATATCTGTGTTTACAAATTCTAACCACAAAAAATCCATTCAAAAGCAAAATAATAATTTTGTTGCCCAAATTGTTTACTTTTCATTGACCTTGCTCTCGTTTTGAAGAATCGGGATTGTTCTGAAAACAATAAAGCTCAAATCACAAGTTTCTGCTGGTCAGTGACTGTAATAAAGCTCATCCATTCATTCAAGTCACAAGTTTTACTTTTAAAGAGCTTTTCTCCTGAAGACTGACAGGCCAGTGCTGAAACCTGGGCATCCAGGCCCAGACGCGAATCTGGGAGCACCCCCAAACTCTGCACCTGTGTTTTCAGAGGGAGTGTAACCCCATCCAGTACAAGCTGCGTCCCTGTTCCTTGATCTGCCTTTCGACTGACCAGAAGCATCTCTGTCTTGTCTTGTCTGGAATAAGTTTCACTTTATTCACCCTCATCCACTCCATCACAGACACCAGGCATTGATGTAGAGGTGAATCAACTTCTTTGGATTTAGATGAAAAAGAGATAGCTTTGAGCGTCTGGTGACACCGAACTCTGGGCTTCTTGCAGTGGTTTCATGTAACTGTTAAATAGCACAGGGGACAAAACAGAACCCTGAGGGACACCACAGACCAGTGGCCAGGGTGTTGAACAGGTTTACCCCAGCACCAACTGGAGCCATCGTAACACAGTGCCTTCGAGTCCCATCCCAGACAGGTGGCCCAGAAGGATACCACGGGGACAAAACAGAACCCTGAGGGACACCAGTGGCCAGGGTGTTGAACAGGTTTCCCCCAGCACCAACTGGAGCCATCATAACACAGTGCCTCCAAGTCCCATCCCAGAGAGATGGCCCAGAAGGATACCATGGTTGATGATATGGAAAGCTGCTGAGAGGTCCAACAGAACCAACAGGGAAAGAATCCCCTTGTCCAGTTTCCGGCATAGGTTATCCACCCAGGGGACCCAAGTGGTCTCTGTCCTCTAACCAGGCCTGAAGCCAGATTGAAACGAATCTGGAGAAACCATCTCACCCAGGAACCCCTGGAGCTGAGAAGCAATGACCTGCTCCAATAGCTTGCCTAAGAATGTAATATTAGAGATTGGTTGGCTATTACCGAGTATTGTGGGATCCAAAGAGGGCTTTTTCAAGAATGGCCTCACTGCTGCTAGTATTGTGGGATCCAAGGAGGGCTTTTTCGAGAATGGCCTCACTGCTGCCGCCTTTAAGCCTGCTGGGGTCCCTATCCTGCTGCAAGGAGGTGTCCACCACTCCTATCTTTCTGGCTAACCCCTCTCTGGCAGCTTTTACAAGCCTGGAAAAAGGGCAAAGATCCAGCAGAGAGGTGGTAGCCTTCACCTCCCGAAAGGTCCCGTCTACGTCATTTGGGTTGCAAAAAAATCGAAACTTATCTAATAACACAGGACACGTTGGGGGCCGTAGCTACATTCACAGGACCTGTTATCCACATATCCAAGTCAGAGCTGATCCCGGCAATTTTCCCTACAACGTATAATGCAAATTCTTCCTCACAGGAAACGGCAGGGTGGTCTGTACTATCCTCCTGGGAGCTGGCCTCTCATAGGCCCTTGACCCGTTGAAAGAGCTCTCCTAGGCAACTTTGTGCAGGTACAACGGCAGAGAAGACTGACTTCGTTGCCGCTGCCATGGAATACCCCCCCCGAGAGCGCTAGCCCGTGTTCAGTTGGATTCACTCTTGTATGCCTTTCACTCTTGAGTTTTCCGCTATCCTCACTCCAGTCTCCATCCAAACTCATTTCGTCCCCATCAGCTTGCCAGTAAACCAGAAGGCCAGTTTGACTCTACTTTGCTGGTCAGGATGCTTAGGAGGGATTGTGTCCACAGCCCTGGCTACTTCCCCATTCCGGAGGTCAGCTAAGGGCACTTCCACAGAATCGCCGGCCGAAACGACAGGAAACTCCTCAAGAGCCCCTTCAGCTGCCTGGAATGGACCATTTCAATTGCTTGGTTAAAAGGAGAACAGAACTCCCTCTTTTCAAGTCTTCAGCCCGTAGGCACGTACGTGGCTTGCTCTGCTTTCGGATGACGGCCTCCTTGATGTGGTCTCTGATCTGAATGCTAGATGTGTTTCCAATTTGCACTTTTCTATTTCTGAGCCAGCTGTTTTAACAAATCTCAGCCTTGTCAGTTTCGCTGTATCAAAGGATATATGAGAGAAGATGTTCTTCAGGTGTTTCTAGAAATCTCCAGTAAGCACAGCAATACACAAAATGGCACTTTAACTGGCATAACGTATGCAGATGTGAATTTTGCATTATTCTTATTGAGGGAAAGACGTTGACCAATTTATGCAAGACATCTCGGATTACAAATATCAGCTTGCTGGTTGCAACTAATGATTCCTGTGTTACATTTATTGTTCCTGCTTTTGAGGAAGCAATCACCCCTTCTCTCAAATACTAGACATCGTTCTAGAAACTCCCATGATGATTTAGCACGTGTAGCTTTTCTTTTGCCTGTGCAGCCATCCTCTCCTCTGCCTTCGCAGTTCATGTAATGTGTCTGAGAAATCAAGAGACTCCCTCCCTCCCTTTCTATCCATTACCCTTCCTTCCTTCCTCAGTCCGTCCTTCCTTTCTCTCTCTCACCTTCCTTCCTTCCTTCCACCCACCCATCCATGCAAAGAGAATACCATCTTCTCAACAGTAGTGTGCCTTAGCACTCCATGTGTGAGGAACTTGCCAAGCAACCTGTCTTTCTCCCTGGTATGAACTGTTTTACATTATTTTACAATATAACACTTTTCAGTGATAATTCTCAAAGTAAATAAATAAATAAATAAATAAACTTGCCAAGCAACCTGTTTTTCTCCCTGGTATGAACTGTTTTAAATTATTTTACAATATAACACTTTTCAGTTATAATGCTCAAAGGGCTCACAATAATAAAATCAGCTTTATTGGCAGACAGTCATGTTCTCCCAGTGACAGATTCAAAAAAGCAGCTGTTCTCCTGTGTGGCATCCATACAGTTCCTCTCCCTTGAAAGAGAACAGCAACTGTTAGGGGGTTACGGAGGAAGAGAGAATGGCTAGAAATTCTGGGAACCTTGGTCCAAAAAGGTGTAATTTCCCATCTCTGCTGAGCAAAGATGCTACCTGGTTCTGGACAGATGTTTCTTAAGCCCCCCCCTTTTAAAGCTCTGACTGCTGCTAATGGTTAATTTAAGTACAACAGGCAAAGGTTTCGGTTTTATGGAAGTAGAAGCTCTTAGGTTTGTGAATGCAGAGGAAGGATGGACAGCATGTCTCTCGCACAGGAAAAGTACCTTGGAACAGACGTGGGAATAGATGTAGGAGGTCCTAATTTGTATCCCTGTGGATATGAAAATTAAGCAGGGCACCAGAGGTGCCATGGAGGTCGGTTCCCTCTCTCCCCCCCCCAGAACTATCCTGGGCTTCATGGGGTGCATGGGGGCTGTTGTCGCTAATATGGTGCCGATTGTGGAGCTAGCCTGGCTGGTGTTTCCCTGCTCCCCTTATGCTGCTGACCGCTCCTGTGAAAAGGTGGGAGGACGAGTCTCCTCGCTCAGCCACTCAGTGGTCAACACCGCAGGGAGACGGGAAGCACCAGTGGGGCTACTGGGGATTGGCGCAGTGTTACCGACGATGCCCATGTATGTCACGCGAAACCCAGCACGTGGGCTGGGATGGTTCTGGGGGGGAAGGTCCAAAGGGCCCAGCCGCCCTGTGGTGGTGATAATCATATTTGTCTCCCCCAGGAGACGAATATGAATATCCCATCTCTAACGAGGAAGCTTCAGTGGCTCACACTGATAATTCTGTGAAGATGTTAAGAGCTTTAAAATTACCTTAATTACCACACTTAGGTTTATGCAACATTTCACTACTTGTCAGTCTGAGTGTTAAGACTGAGCAACAGGGAAATGTCACATAAAAACAGATGTTAACCTATAGAGAGGCTTTGTACGATTGTGTTCATTTTCTAATAAGAGAACATCTCCATGAAGGCTGATTTTTCACCCAAAAATCCATGATGAGTGTGGACATTTTTACACAAAACTAGACAGAATTTAATGAGATGCTGCTCTCATCTTTCCACGCCTTGACCACTCAGAAAGAGACGAGGATCTAATCAGAAAATGAAAAAGCGATGGATTTGGCCTGCTGATTTTCAGCAATGACAAAAATTGGAAGACCTTCTAAGAGATGAACTGCGGCTAAGGCGGATTCCCCCACCCCAAGCCAAGTCAAGCCAAACCATTCTTTGCCTCCTGTACTTAAGGCACAACCATAGTCTTGCTCTGTTCTTGTTCATTCAGACGGCTTGGCTAGTTTCTCTGATTTGCTCACATAGTTGGCTTTCCGGCAGCAGCTTCCTGCCCCTTACTTAGTGAAAAGACGACACGGAGGCAACGTTTCTGTGAACTCCCAATGACAGATTCACTCATGGAGTCTGCCATCGCCTCCACTGTGGCGTGGACAGACAAGAAACCGTGTGGGAGAAGGCTGGACGTTCACAACGGATGAGACAGGTAGTCCGTGGCCTTCCCACTCTTCCCACCTTCAAGGAATTAAGCTGCTGCTTCCCCAGAGAGGGAATGAGCTGATGTGCTGGTAAACCAGAGCAAGGGTTGCGGTCGCTACTTGGCCGCCTTCTCTCTCTCTCTTGAACACAACATCCGCACTGGGGCCCCCGAGGGAAGCAACTCTTCTGAGGAGAAGCAGAGGGGACCTCCTGTGTGTCAGCTGCTGTCCTGCAGACACCACAACCCAATCTCTCCCCCCTGCCAAATTCATACGGCGTTCGAGGGGCCCGTCGGATCTTGTCTCTACTTGTTATATGGCCTTAGTTGTGCAATGCAGAACACGGAGGCATTCTAAGCTTTCTTCAAGTTAAAGGAGTTCGTGATCGCTGCCTGGTCCTGACTGCCTCTATCCAGGCAGGCAGCAAAGGTCTTCTGCCATTTCCTCGGTTGTCACTCGCAGGTCACAGGGTCCAATGGCAGAAGGGATTAAACAGGCCCCCAAACCTCCAGCATTCTTGTCACAGTTCGAATCTCCTCTCCACCTCGTTAGCAATCATTTTCGCAATGGCAAGAGAGGAGGTCGCGGCAGGGGAAGGAGCATTTCGGACGTGGAGAATTCGGCCCCCGATATCTCCAGTGCCTTCATCAAATACAAAATCGTCTATTAAGTTCCCGTCGTTGTCCAAGGCCTGAGCTCTGACACCAGCAGGACCTCTGCAAGCACACAAGGAGGAGAAGACAGGCATGTTAACAGGGTTGGGGGGTGGGGGAAGAGATGAAACTGGAATAAAAAGGAAAGTGTGAACATTAGACACTTGTTAGACACTCGAAACCACCTTTTTGTGCTCCTGACATTTTAGCGGCTTTGCTGCCTTAAACGGCCGTTTAGTATTTTGGCATTTCAGCACATGCCACCCTCTGCGTTGTTTTATCTCACAGCAAATGCAAAATAATTCTGTGGCTACATAAATAACATTGGGGTACCAAAGCCACTAGGCAGTACAATAAACACACCCCACTTGGTGTGTCACTGCCCGTGTGCAGCTTACAGAATTTCTTGGAGAACAACAGTGTGACCTCGAGTCAACTGTGACTTATGGCAGCCCTTTTCAAGGTTTTCTAAACAGAGAGTATTTAAAAGTGGTTTACCATTCCCTTCCGAGGGCATCTCGGGACGGTACAGCTTACCCGAGACCACACAGGTGGGCTCTCCTGTGATGCACAGTGGAGAGAAACGGTTTAGACCAAAAGGGCAAACAGAAATATTCTGCAACGAGCACCCTTTCAGATTGTCTCCAATACAGGACAGGAAAAGTTTCATCAGTACTTTTCCTACCCCAGGTTTCCCCAGAAGGGAACGGATCCCTCTCTTCTCCATCTTCCCCAAACTACAATTCTCAAGGCTCCCCAGGAGGAGGGCGCCATGAAACCCGCTGAAATCAGCAGCATAGACACTCCTTTGTGGGAGCCCCATGCCTCAAACGGGGCTACAACAAAGTCATGCCCTCATCGTGTCATATAAAGGATGTCACACAACGCCAGGATGCTGTTCGTTTTCTTGATCCTGCAACTAACCAAGGAGGAGGTAGGGACTGACAGCAGGACAACATCCTGTCACCTTTTTTTAATTGCATGATAGTGCTGAGAAACAAATGACAATCCCAGGCGGCTGTCTTCAGAGACACAATTAGGCGACCTCTCTTAGCACCCTTTTCAGCCACCAGGCTTCTCCTTGATGAATGAGTTCAGGCACCTGGGGACGCCGCTTCTGGAAATCATCCCGTTTACACTCCCTCCTGTGGAAAGAAAGGGTGGTGGTTCTTGTTGCTGCTGTTTTGTTGTGGTGGTTTTGTTTTTTTTACCTGAGAATATCGTTGATTGTGACTTCTGGTATGAATTTCTGTAGCTGCTTCAACTGCGCGCTGAGGAAACAGGCTCTGTACATTTCTCCCACCCCGTACGAGAAGTTTCTGAGCACCAGCTTCCATAAGCCACTGAGGAGGAAAAGAGCGACGCTTACTGCAGGCCAAGACACAACCTGCCACCTTCTGAGCCCTGAGCCCTGTCAACTCCATTTGCAGGTTGCCACGGTTTAAATTCCTTCTGCACTCTGTTTTGGAAATGTCTCCTCCTGTGGTCACACATCTGATTTTGTTTTTGAAGCCACCTTCAAAATTTTGAATATAGCCTTTCTACTGGTCAATTTTCCCGGGCCAAAGGGTCTTCCATTCCTACATTACCGTAAAAACATGGGAATCTCATATTTTCCTTGTAACGCCTTGTGTTCCAAACATGGGCGCAGCAGAGATCTGCTAGGAAATTGTGTCAGAGGAAGAGAGACCAATAGTATGATCTTTTTAAAGAAGACGGTCTGGGGAAGCCTTCATCAAGAAAAGAGAGCAGATAATGTGATACTGGGGGGAAGAGGAGGATGGGGAAAAACCAAAAGCCAAACAATTTGGTATTCAAGGACCATAAATGTAAAGATATTGCAGAGCACAGAAGATGATTTAAGGAGAAAGACAGCACTATCATAGCGGGGGGGGGGAGGGGAAAGGAATGATATGGGCCAGAATATAGAGGTGTCACCAGACCACCCTTCATGGCCCAGTGGTCAACCTGCAGTCCTGCGGTCCAAAACTCTGCTCCCAATGTGAGCTCTATCCTGATGGCCTCAGGTCGCCAGCTTGAGGTTGACTCAAACCTTGCCATCCTTCCAAGGTCAGTAAAAGGAGTACACAGCTTACTGGGGTTGGGGTGGCGGCAGTGTGTAGCCTGCATATTGTAAACTGCCCAGAGATTGCTTAAAGCACTATGGGGTGGTCTATGAGCAGCACACTTTGCTTTTTTTTTTAATGCCTAGAAAAGCAACAAGCACCTCATGAATAAGGGACTGTTTGCCTCCAAATCCTACCCATTTTATTTACATATGGATAAATCAGCAATCCAATTCCAGCCACATTCCCTACCCAGACCAGCAACCCCGGTAGTGCTACAAGTGTAAAGCCACCTTCTGCAAGAACAATACACTGGGATCCTATCTACAGAAAAAGGAACTTTCTTGCACGGCCTACAGCAGTAGTGCAGATCTCCTCGTGATCTGCTCCAAGCTGCAGGGGAAGGGCTAATAGTCCTTTTTCCCCTTTAAAAGTGAGGAAAACAGATTCTTGTATTCTCGAAGGCTTTCAATTCTTATTGAAAAAAATGGAAATCAGGCCTGCTCAAAACCCAGCTCACTCTGTAGTCCTCTCCCCCTTGCCGTGGCCCTGTCCTGCTAGATGACCAGTCACAGGGATCGGTCACCATCCAAACCTTGGTGGTTATTTTCTGGTAGCATCTGGAAAAGAAACAAGATGCTCTGCCCCTAATGGGGTCCTAAATGTTCCAGGGCAGCCTCTCAACTCTGGCAAACGGGTCACCCTGCCTGTAAGAAAGCAAAGGACGGAGGCTACCTGTAAGCAGTGGCCTCCATGAAATCTTGCAGACTGAAGTCATAGACTCTGTAGCCCTCTCGTTTGAAGGCGAGAACAGCATTAGGGCCAAGCCAGACACTGCCGTCCATTCTTGGGGTAAAATGGATGCCCAGAAAGGGGAAACGGGGATCCGGTACCTGTCACAACAAAGCACAAGAAACACAGCCTAAATCAAAATGCATCTAAAAGAACCACATATCTGCATCACCCTTGGAAGGCATACAATGTATAGTTAACTGTTTCCCTTCCACCCTCTGAACACAGATGTTCTCTTGTTAAGACGGCCAATTTTCCCCCCAAAAGTATTTCCAGCTCAAGATTTGAACCTTACAATTATAACCGTCCAACCTTTTGTTGGACAATTATACTCCAAAGCTTTGGAAAGCAAATCGGGATCTCGAAAATGGTTTCGGGAGTCATCCAATCACAAATGAATCTTCTGAAGTAACAAGTTTCACACACGCCTAAGGAAAACAATTGCGTTTGGTCTCACAGATATAAAAACAGCACAGCGGTATTTTCTCAAAGCATTCAGGAACCTCTAGTTGAGATTCATTTAAAATACAGAACAACAGTGCCGAAAACACACAAGGAACCAAAGGCCATACCGGATAAATATTTCCTCTAACCAAATAGCACTTCTCTGGCTTTAGCACCAAATAATCACCCCGGAAGGGCACGATTCGAGGCTCTGGGCTGCAGCCGCTGATCTGAGAGAGGCGGTCAGAGTAAAGCCCTGCGCAGGCCACCAGATGCCGGCAGCGGACTTCCTCCCCCTGCAACAAAATCATAAGGACAACCTCAGGGCTCCATCTCTGTCGATTCCAGGCAGAGACATCAGAGACCTTAGGGAGCCAGCAAGGAAGCAGAGTAGCAATATGACAGTGGCTAGAACCCCGTTACTAACACATGCCCGTGGAAATTAAGTGGTGCAAATCACAACAGTGAATTGCCACCATATAAGACGTCCAGGCTTCTATTCTTCACCATGCACCAGTCACATGACTTGGAGTAAGACGAGGAATACAAGCTTCAAGGTCCTTAACTATCAGCAATTTTGAAGTGCAATTTATGTCATTTGACTTAGTGTTTGATGTAACTACAGTGTTACAGTCAGGATCACAAAGAATGAGGCCCCCAGTGATGGCTATGACAATCACTGGGAGGATTCTGGAGGATGCTCATGCACTTGTGAAGGGAGATGATAGAAGGAAGAGGATGGACGTCCCTATGAAATAAAAAACCTGAAAACCAAATCTATGCATTTTTCTTCGTTGGACCAGTTTTGTGGTGAAGTATGTCAAGGTAAAATATGTGCGTTTCTGACTCGGGAAAGATAATAAAGTAAAAATATGAAATACGATACTCTTCAAAGAACAAACCAACCTGAAAGCTTTCTCTTACCTTGGAATTTCTAACAACAACAGGATATTTCAGCCCTGTAAACAATAAGATTAAGAATAATGCTATGTGGGTCATGAAACAGTTGTTGGCCCTAATGTACAGTCCTGAAGGAGAACAATGAACGATTCTCAGAAGGAGGCCTGGCTGGCTAGCAGACTCGCCTTCCTCCCCTCCAGTAGTGTCGCCTTTATCAGAACAACCTTGTATATACCATGTGTTGCAACTATGGTGAACTCACATTCTCTCTCCTTGTTTTCTATTTTCTTGAACCCAACTCAGGAAAATATCACTCACAGAAGTTTCAACACATTTAATCTTGAAATAAAGGACAGGTCTCTTAATTAACATTCAGCAATTTGAATCAACATGGTGCATGTCTGGGTCGGTGTGCAAAGGGCGCGTGCGTGTTCCTTCGGCCCTCAAAAATGTGGAGAATACATTATGTGGCTCTCATGCTAAAAAGTTTGGAGACCCCCTGGGTTCTATCACAATTGTTCTCAACCTTAGGTCCCCAGATGTTCTTGAACTACAACTCCCAGAAGCCTTCGTCTCTAGCTGTGCTGGCCAGGATTTCTGGGTGTTGTAATCCAAGAACATCTGGGGACCCCAGTTTGATAACCACTGCTCCAGCAGCTAGCTATAGCCTTTTTCCATTTTAGTGTATGAACTAGTTCTGACATGAAATTCCGAGTCTCTGGAATGGCTTCCAAAACAATTCTTGGTCAAAAACATTTGATCCACTGGTCTGAATCTTCCACACCACTCTTTCGGAAGGCAGGCCTATAAGATCGGCATAAGACTAATTCAGTTCAATTTAATTTCATTTACGGTAATTCAACAGCTATGGATCACAACAAAACCTTTAGCTCAGACTGCACTAAGGGAGAAAGTAAAAAGTTAACATTACCTTCTTCACTTCCGGGGGGACTTTCTTTTGCCATCTGCATGTCTTCCACCTCAAAGTCAGTCAAGACGGTCCCACCAGCTGCCTGGAAATCCTCAGCATAGGCCAGGGCCACCTGCCTGTAATTCACAATGCCCGTGTAGGGGGAGTCCAAGGCTATCAAACCCTGAAAAAGTGGGCATAGCAAAAAATAAATAAATCAGCATTTCTATTCACAAGGCGCAGGTTGGACAGGGGGAAAAACGAGGATAAGGAGACACACTTCCAAGCAGTGCACATTTCAGTATCGTAGCTTTAAACGTGAATACCCAGTTATTGCATGTCCGGACTAGATAGGCATGGCAGACAGTTCAAAGGAGAGCGCAGGGTAAACAATTCAGACAACTGAGTTCTAGTTCAAGACAGTCAAGAAGCTACTGAGCCAGGCAATCAATATTTCTCTGGATAGAGAAATCTGAGTTAATGGTTGTTCTGGGTTTTTCAGGCTCTTTGGCCATGTTCTGAAGGTTGTTTTTCCTAACGTTTCGCCAGTCTCTGTGGCCAGCTTCTTCAGAGGACAGCAACCTGAGTTAGCTCTGCCTTTTGCCAATCTTAGAACCAGCCAGTTGTAAAGTATTAAGGAAGAACCTTTAACCACACACACACTGGCCATTAGGGAGGATGTTGATCTGCATAAGGATGCAGACAGTCCCAGGGACTTGTACGAAAGAAATATTTCATGCTGAACAGCAAGTCCTCACCCGACCAGATAGGTGGGATATAAATTAAATAAATAAATAAAATTACCCGACAGTAAGGCTCTTTCTCTTGGATTTCTTTGGAAGTTATCAGCTTCAGCCCTCGGACATTGTTCTGCAAGCCGCGCTCATAGAGTGCCTTGAGTCTCGGAATTTCTTCCCGTTCAACTGCCACAATCAGCTAGAGAGCAAGAAGGCCATAAAAGAACAAACACAGAAAGACCACGTTGTACAACCTAGACTAGGCCAGAGGTTCCCCACTCTTGAGTCCCCAGATATTCTTGGACTGCTACTCCCAGAAGTTTTTTCACCACTCGCTGGCCAGGATTTCTGGGAGTTGCAGTCCAAGAACATCTGGGGGCCCACGGTTGGGAACCACTGGGCTAGGATTACACCACATTAAAAAGAACACTAGCTTGTTTGTTGAATATTAATATTGAATGAAATGCAAGCGGCTTGCACAATGACTCAACAAAGATTCTGATTGCATTTATCTACTCGCAATTTACATGCTTTCGAACTGCTAGGTTGGCAGGAGCAGGGATAAGAGATGGGAGCTCACTCCATCATGTGGATTCGATCTTACAACGGCTGGTCTTTTGACCCTGCAGCACACAGAACTGCAAACGACTTGAAATAGTGGAAACAATTTCAAAGTTGCACAAAACCGTTCTTCCAATTTAGGTGTTTGCGGTACCCAACCTCTTGCTCTGGCTGAATAAAAACATCAGTTCTTCCCTTGAGGCCTCCCTATCGATCTATAGTCGCTGAACTTAAGAAGCAAAAGGTGCTGCACCTACCATACCTTCCCGCACTGTTTATATGGGATTCCCTTTTGGTCACAGTACTTGTAGCAGAGGAGAGATCCTTCCACGCATAGCTTCGCTTTCAGGGATCCTGGTGTGTAGTAGATTCCACTGTGAATAACACCACTGTTGTGTCCACTCTGATGGAAGGCTAAATACAAGGGATGAGGGATCAGGATATGGGGAAACTTTGAAAGAGGTGCTACATGAACCTCAGGAAGCTTGGGCCTTCATTCTTTTGGTAAACCGTTGGATATGTTTTTTGTTATTTTTATATTTATTAAAAGATTTTCACTGGAAGATAGCCATGAGATATACAAAATGAGGACAAACATGGTTATATCATCAAGGTTCCATAAGATGATCCAAAAGAGAATCAAAATGACTTTAAAAGGCAGTAAGATACAATAGAACAGAACAATCAGCTAAAATGGATGGGAAACAGAAAAAAACACTTACTGATTTAAAGATGGATAGAAAAATCTGAGCTAGCTAGCCCTACTTGCTTTGGATTGTGACATACTCTAAATCGATTTTGAACATTCTATTACATAATTTTTTTATTTTCATCCAGGTGCTCTAAGGGGTTAAATCCCTCCACTACGTATTCTGAGTAATGCTTAAAAGATTTAAATTAGGAGAAATACCTCCAAATGTACTAACTTGCCACGAATGTTTTTCCTATGGAAGCAACAAGTTGACAATGTTTTTGCACAAAGCCACCAAGGCTTTGTGAACTGATGAGTGTGGAAAGAATAGGCACCTGATGCACAAGCAGTTTTGGAAAGCTGTGGGAAAATACATTACTCCGTTTGGAGAGCGACCTGGTGACTGTTACACTCACTTTAATGCTTGTTGTTCAAAAAGCCGCCAATGCTGGAGGTATAAAAAGTCATCTAGAGCCCTGACAATTTAATAGGCAGGCAGAAAGGCAACCCCAGGAGCGGGGCAGTTGGAAGGTAGAAACAGACAGGTGGAAATAGTATAGAAGGTTGTGATGTGTTTTGTGAGATCTTGTATCATACCTAACTCCTTTTCCTTTTCCAGTACTCCAAAAACAAGGGATGGGTGTCGCAGGCTGAGCTCCCTGGCCGATGCCAGTCCCAGGATGCCAGCTCCAATTACAGCCACATCAAAGGTGCTACGAAAATGGGTTTGAAAAGGATTACATGCTGCTCAATTTTTGTCCCAGAATAAGCTATCAGACCATTTCTGTGTTCCCACCTCTGCCCTTCAATAACAATACAGTGGTGCTTCACACGACATTAATTTGTTCCACGAAAATTGCTGTAAAACTAAAACGTCATCATGCGATTTTAAAAAGCCCATAGAAATGCATTAAAACCCGATTAATGCGTTCCTAGGGGTTTCAAACTCACCGTACAGTGAAGATCCTCCATAGCGCGGCCATTTTCGCTGCCCGTGCAGTGAGGAATCCGTGCCAGAAAACAGCGGGCAGCCATTTTTTTACCTGGCAGCCATTTTGAAACCAACGATCAGCTGTGCGAAAATCATCACTTTGCGATGATCGGTTACCAAAACGGGACCGATCATCGCAAAGCGAAATTCCCCCATAGGGAACATTATTTTGCGATCACAAAAACATCAATGTAAAGCGATTTCGTCGTCAAACGGAGCGCTCGTAATGTGAGGCACCACTGTATCCCATTCTACTTGTAAATCTGTAAAAATACCAGTTTAGTTTAATGGAAAGAAAGCTAGGCCAACTCCGTTATGAAACTCACCGGGCACATTCAGGCTGGTGCTTAGCACCTAGCCTAGCCCATGTGAATTTTGTGAAGATAATATGAGGTACCTGGGGGAAGAGACCCCAGGTGGTGCCCAGGGTGGTGGGGTGGTCAACCACTGAGTTTAAAATAAAACCAATACTGTATGAGTACCTCAGGGAGTTCCAAGAGCAAGAAATGCAAAATGAAATGAATAAACAAAGGAGGAGGTACCTCGTGGGCTGAACTTTGCACAAAGTGGGAAGGTCAAGCCCATAAAAGGGTCCCGTTTCCAAATAGGACTTTCCTTTTTTTAAAAAAAATACACTGATACCCAGTCTAATGAGTGAAACAAAGTCAAAAGTCCTGAGGAAAACTTCCTTCAAATCAGTCTAGGAATCTGTCAAATCTCTTTTCCACTGAAGTTCCCAAGAAACTGAACAGACGTACATGTATATATATATGTACACATACTGTATATATACATACTTCTGTGTATGTGTGTATATGTACATACATACATAGCTGGCTGGGTATCTCAGTGAGTAAGGTATCTCTGATTGGGAGTTCGATTTCCCACTGTGCCTCCTGCAAGCAGAGCTGGTGGTCCGTGTGGCCTTGGGCCATCTGCACGCTCCCATCATCCCATCCTCATGTCCGCTGTGGCTGGGGGATGATAGCAGTCCCAGTCCAAGATGTCAGAAGGCTGCCAAGGGAAGGAAGACTGGTGGGGCTTGGCTGACTTTGCAGTAGCATCACAGTCAGCAATGCTTCAAACCACACCAGAAGCCCCTGGTCGCAGGGAGAACTGGATTCCTGGGGGGTGACTTTAAAGGTGGAGCAGAACCATTACAAGGGTTGTTGGGTTTGGGTTTTTTTGCACCAACACGTGCAAAGAAGAGGCAACTTCTCACCGATGCCGGTGCCCTCTATATGCACCCCAACAAAATAAACTGGTCCCTGGCCTGGAAACGGTGTGGCCGGG